TGTCCTCGCCTTAATAAGCCTTTAAATTATCGAGGCCTAAACAATGTTTATGTCTATATACACAAATGAATTTAATTGGTTTATTTTATTTAAGTAAAAATAATTATAAAATTTCCATTTAAGGTGAAGGTAATTTTGCTAGTCTCCTGACTGGCACCTGATATATACTTGGGCAAACCACACGTACCTACTATTTCTCTCTTTTCCTATATGAACAAAAGACTGCATTTTCCGGGAAACAATAGTGCGGTTTCATGGGTAAACCGAAGTGAGCAGATGGCCCATGTGATTAGTCTGACATTTGCACCGGCGGTGTCTCCGGTTGGCACGTGCATTCCAACGTGAATCTCACTCTCGTCTGCCGGGGATTGCAGTCTTGCAACCCGTCATTGCAACTCGACGAGGGCTTTAATCCTCGTGTTTGAATGACGAATCACCTGTAGCACTGTCCGAGCTTGACAACAGCGATTCAAACTGTTCCATCTTATTTACATATAATAAATTAATTAAGAATAATATATTAATTAAAAATAATAATTGTAATCTATTAAGTGAAGAATTTGTCAGTTTGCTTTAAATTAAATTCTTTTCAACAGTTGCACGTTAATTAATATCAAGAGAACCAACCTGCTCTGTAAAGTTAAACTTTGTAAAGTTAAACGGTCAATGCTTGGCGCGAGCACATTATTTCAATATTAGAGAATTAAAAAGCTCTTTCCGGGTTGCCATTATAAAAATATTTTGGCAAGCTCTCGATTTCCAAATTCTTTTAAGTCTATTGCTTGCTCGTCGTTACTGGACTGTGCGTATAAGTAATTTCTTCTTTTACTTTTTCTCTCGTCTTCTAGTAGTGATCACTGGTCTATTCGAGAAACGAGTTCTCTTCGACTCGCTAATCATGTCTCGGTTAATGGGCTACAACGATAATTAACTCGATAATAAAGCGTAGGTGCTTTCCTCGGTGTTTTCTTTATGCACGTAGATTAAACGGCAACAGTTATCGCCTTCCGCGCGTATCAAGAGATACGCTTCGGCTAACGAGGAGAATGTTCGGAGCAGAAAAACTAAGATTTTCTACCGTCGGTTGCCATTCTATTCGAACACGAGCAAGAGATTAGGGTCAAGGCGCTAAGAAACTTCTTACGACATATATTTACAGGATACTCCGATATTAATCATATAAAATAGTATATGTATCACAGACAGAATTTTCTTTTGGCATTTACCCTGAAATTCATGATGATCTTGGGATAATATGATATTTCATAGAATTTTATATGATTTTCTCTGTTTAATATTTCCACAAATAAAATGTATAAAGTATATTTGATTTATTTTACTAAAAAAGCATAGTAAAATTTCAATAATTTTCAAATATGTTAGACAATTTATGATTCTTTATTATTCTAAACAGATATCAAGTAATGTGATAAACATATAACATACGAGTATCTTATATACAAATTTTATAATACAACATGATATTTTTAATTTGATTGGTCGCTCCTGATCGATACTTTGCGCAGAAGATTAATGTCTGCTTCGTATTAACTACCTAATTATGATGCTTCAAAATTTAAGTAATCCCATGTAAAAGTAATAAAAAAGACATACAGGGAACAAGTTTTAAAGCATAACTTCCTTGATAATATTAAACTATGTATGATAAAATAATCATATAATTTTATTATTAATCGAGAAATGTACAGCATGCTTATGCTTGTATATCAAATAAAGAATTGTCATGAAAAGTGCGTTCGAAAATAATCTTTTTTATACATTCTGTCTAAACGTTTTTTTTTTTTCTCTTTTCTGTCGCAGACGCCTGCGGACTCTCGGATGTGGCGCACATCGAATCCCTTCAGGAAAAGTCGCAGTGCGCCCTGGAGGAATACTGTCGGACCCAATACCCGAATCAACCGACAAGGTTTGGCAAGCTGCTGCTGCGACTACCGTCGTTACGCACGGTCTCGTCGCAGGTGATCGAGCAGCTCTTCTTCGTGCGGCTGGTAGGCAAGACGCCGATCGAGACGCTCATCAGGGACATGCTGCTGAGCGGCAACAGCTTCAACTGGCCCTACATATCCACGATGTGACACTCTGTCTGGCGGCAGCTAGCTTCCGCATAATATTATACCTCGAATAGCGGTGTCGCGGCGCCCGATAATGACCCGCGAGCACGATTCGCGTAAGAGTAGAAAAGAATCGGGCGCGGCGAGGGTGGGCGACACCGTGAATCTCGAATATGCTTGATGCGAAGGGCGGAGGACGGCGAACGGTAGGGCGCGATATCGGTCTTGTTTGCCGCGAGAGATCTCGAGGTCGAAGATCAACGCGTCATTCTTGTCTCTCAACGTCGTCATTAACCCACTTACGTATCCGCGTTGTTCTTAGCGCCGTGACGCGACAATATTCCTTGTCATTGATACTTATTGTACTCTCGCGTTTTGCTAGACCTGTACGGTACTCACGACGAATCAAAATATCTCAATCAGAACTTGAAGACTTTTGTACCCCGAGCAGACGCAACTTGATATCGGAAAGAGAAAGAGAACGCAAAAAAAAAAAAAAAGAAGAAAAGGGTTAGATAGCGAGACTTAAGTAAAATCATTAACGAAGTTCGACCGAAGGTGATAAGATAATGCGCGCAAAATGGCGAGAAAGATGGGCTTGCGATGAGCAGAGATTGTCTCATGAGAAGAGAAGAATTTTCGGTGACATGCAGAGATAAGCGAAAGAGAAAGAAAAGGAGAAAAATATGTAATTAAAGATGTTGCTCATTCAGAAAAACGCGGAGGCGCCGAGCGGCCTGACAGCGTTCAAGAACATTCACTGGGCGTTAAAACTTGGTACTCACTAAAGTGGTCAAGTGAAAGAGAGGGAGGGGTTTATGCGTGTAAGGAGCTTGTCAGTTGTTTAATGCGTGTGTGCATGAGTAAAAGTGTGAGAGAAAGCAAATGAACAAGAATGAGAGAGAGAGAGAGAGAGAGAGTTTGAAAGAGATATAGGGATTTGAGGGAGGGGGAATAGATAGATAGATAAGCGTTTTGTTATATGGCAAAGAATGAAATAACGGAAAGGATGGAAGGAAGGGGAAGACGAGCGTGGCGTGAAGAAGTCATAAATTAGCATTTATAATCAACGATGAGGGGGAGAGAGAGAGCTGGTGGATCTCCCATTGCTATCTCGAATCAATCTTCGCGTCGAGTACTCGCTATTAGTCGAGTCATGCCATAGGCCTTAGTCATTCGTCTTGACGCCTTCTCTACGAGGCTTACGTTCTTCAAGTTCATAGCCCGTGAAACATTCTTTTGGAAATATCCCTTTCGGTCGGACGACGCTCGCGCCTGCACGCACATCGCAGATCTAAATCCCACGACGTCGCTTTCGTCGAAGTCGTCTGTGATCCTCGAGGATTATTGATGGTAAGTCATGATTTTATCTCGGTTATTTTCGCATAGCTATACAATCGAGTATCCTAACTCTTCGATTTTTCGGCGTTAAGATCTTAAAACATCAGAAACAACTTCACCCTATGTCTCGTAATGAAATATTTTCGCAAATTTTTTTCGAAATGGTGCAAAATATACTCGAATCGAAAAAATTCTCATATTCTTCGCGAAAAGTATTTTTCTTACAATTATCAAATTTTCGCATAATCTTAATTAATATTTTACGTAAAAAATCGAAATATGATAATATATCTGAGCTTTATATTTAAGAAAAATCATTATTAATAAATTGTTGAAAGACTCCTTTTTTATGTAAAATATCCCAATTGTTGCACTATCGTTCAAAAGTATTTTTCTATCTTGATTTTTATATATATCTTCTTTATATGCCTAAATTCTATTCTATTCTATAATTATTATACTATATTCTTTTTATATATAAAGAGAATTTAATAGATATATAAACTATAAAATTTTGAATCATTAAATAATTATTATTACATCTAAAAGAATTTCTTATTAAATCATAAAAGATTAAAGAAGATAAAAATTAAAAATGTTCATTTAATTAAGAAAGACGGTGACAAATATTTTTGAACGGTAGGATATATTTAAAAAAAATTTAAATAATTCTGCATTATGTTCTTTCTTTTCCATTTCTCGTCCGTTTGAGATTTTCTTAGCTATATGTATTACAATATGATCACCTTAATTATTATATTAAGTCGTTTAATACACTTTTTTGAAGTCACTCGAACGTCTCGTTTCTCAAATCCGCTTTATATTCTGTTTTATTTTTTAAAGTGAATTATCTTTGTAAAGACTACGGTACACGTTATCGAAAAGTTTTGTCTATTTAAAAACAAATATTGTATAAATTTTTATGTATAGTACTTAGATAGAAATTAAGAGAATCGGGCATCATCGGAACACCTGGTAATTTAGTGCGAGTCGACTTTACCAATATAAAAAGAAATTGTTTATTATAAGTAGAATGTAAAGTGCAAAGCGCATTGCGTTTTACGACGTGAAATCATGAAAGAAACTTATGAGCTCGCGCGAGATAAATTAATCTCCTTCGCGTTCGTGCGGTGCTATTAACAGCAGCGTTTTTTGCGAATAACGTTTAGCGCGTTTACCTGTACTGTCGTACTAGAATTACAGCGGCAATTTCGATGTTTCATCTGACGCATCTGATGCGACGATCGTCTTCGAGAAAAGCCTCGAGGAAGAAAAGCAGCGTACGGCGACGAAACTCCACATGTGACGTTCAACTTGGATGACAATACCGCGCGATATCATATATATATATATACAGCCAATATTATGTATCTTGTAAATACGATATTTTTACTTTGGGTTACTTAAGAGCGTACGTGACGAGACCACTCGAGAGTGCGATGCAACGTCTTCTTTGTATGCCAGTGCCATTGCGCGTCACATCATCGCGTCACGATTAATTCCGCGGCAATCACGGGATCGGTCGACTGATCGATTGATAGGAATATTCGGGACACAGCTGACTCGAGATGATGATTCCGGGACGAGATGTCCGGAGAAATCATGCTGCGTAAGGTAAGCCGCGTTATCTTGTTGCACTGACAAGGGAACCTCGCAAACCCGGAAATTCGGATTTCATTAAAATTTTGAATATATTATGTAGATAAAAGTTAGAATGAATTTGGAAATGTTTCTCCGTGTCAAAAAAAAAAACAGGGATAAAATAATCTTTTCTACACAAAGCAATATATCTCCGAAAATTATTTGAGATATAAAAAAAAATGTAACAGATTCGCTACTTGTTGTAATTTATTCACCTGTGAAAATTACAATAATTACAAATTGATGTAAAGAATTATATTTAAAGTCAAAATATGTTTATTTTATGATAATATAATACGATAAGTACGGGAATTTGTGCGATGAAGAAAAAGAGCGTTCTTCAGAAAAATGAATGGATGTTTAATGGGACTAAAACGTTACAGCTACGAGGTCATCAAGATGGTACTTATGAGGATCTCTACGTCGTAGGTTATAGTATTTCTTGTTCTCATCCTGAATCTGTTCGATTTGCCTCTTAGCATCGTCTCTTAATTGTCTCCTGGTGGTATCATAGTAGTGAGTTAACTCTTGTTCAATCGCTTTCTTCATAGCGAGATCTTCCTTGGATTTCATTCTAGTTTCTTCTTTTAAGTTCATCAGCTCAAAAGGAGTGACATCAATGCTGCGTTGATACGTGGAATTCAAGATTTGCTACAGTCTTGCGATATACCACTTAGTAGGTTCATCTATTGACATCTTTGCAAGTACTGGGATGATCGTTCTATTAATTCGTTCAATTTGTCCGTTAGATCTGGGTCCATCGTAACTTTGATGTGTTCAATGGTCTTTCTGGTAGCAGTGGTTCTCAAATTCAACAGAAGTGAAGACGGT